AGGAATAAATTATAATTGAGGCAGGGAGGGAAAAATGACAGGTGAAAGGAATGACTAATTAAGGGAGAGCAAACAGGCCAGATCATGACAGCTGGTTTGAATACAGCAGGAACCAGATGTTTCTGTCATTGCAATTTTTTTTTATCCACGTTACTTTAAATTAGGGCTGGACACTTCATTGCTTTTAAAATATAATCGCAATTTAACAAAACGCAATTTTGAAATTGCACAAGCACCCAGTTTCAATCACACCATATTTAAAGGAAAATAACGGTCATATTCAGAATTCAAACTTCTAAAAGTACTTTAAATATTAAATTATTACATACTGTGGAGATGTAATACTGTGGATTACATGGATGGATGGAATTAAGAGTAATTTTCATTTAATGTGCTTTATCGGAGGCATCCATGTTTGTCAAAGAACACTACTGCCACCAACCGGTTTGTGACGTCACGGTGCGGTATCTATTATGGTTCTCCCCTTTTGGGACTCTGAGTTTTTAGTTTTCAGTTATTAGTTATTCTGCTTTGTTGATCTTTGGTCTGTTTTCCATTATATTCAAGCAGTCTGTATTTACTCTCTGTTGCCCCCCTGTGCTTGTTTCCTTTCCCTTTGGCTCCCTTGTAGTTAGTTCCACTCACACCTGCTCCATATTCAGCTGATTAGAACATCCTTTGTTCTGTTCCCCTTATATGCTCCACCTCTGCAGTCACTCAGGGCTGGTTACTTGTTGCTATTAGTTGCTTCCTCGTTTCCACGTGAGTTTTCCCTGATGTTCTCTGGTTATTTGGTTCTGTCTATTTTGAATTTTTCAAATGATTCCCTCAGTTATTTATTAAATCAACAAGAACTCATATATGCTTTACTTATCTCTGCATTTGGGTCCTCAAGCAACCACTGGAACCATCAAGTCCCAGTGCTGTATCTGGTGTTTGTCACAACGCGCTATTATCCAAGTCATCTTAAAAACATTCTTCTTCACAATGTTGGCTACATAGTCATATCAAAAACACTCCTATTAATCTTAATTATTTCTATTTCTAAATATTTGGGTGTTTTTAACAGCTATTTCAGTTTAATATATATCTAATAACTGGTGGACACAGTAATATGTCAGTATTGAATCGAGGTGTATTGGACTAACAGAAAATGTGCAATATGCATTAAAACAAAATTTGACAGGTGCAAAAATATGGGCACCTCAGCAAAAAAGAGATCAACAACCTCTAGTCGCTTCCTGTAGCTTTAATGAGTTCCTGATTTTTGACCATTCTTCTTTGCAAAACAATTCCAGTTCAGTTAGGTTTGATGGTTTCCCAGCATGGACACCCTGCTTCAAATCATCCCACAGATGTTCAATGATATTCATGTCTGGGGATTGGGATGGCCATTCCAGAACAATGGAATTGTTCCTCTGCAGAAATGCCTGAGTAGATTTGGAGCGGTATTTTGGATCATTGTCTTGCTGAAATATCCATCCCCGTGTAAATTCAACTTCGTAACTGATTCTTGAACAATATTCTCAAAAATCTGCTGATATTGAGATGCAACCGTCAACTTTAACTAGATTCCCAGTGCCAGCATTGGAAACGCAGCCCCAAAGCTTGATGAAACCTCCACCAAATTCTACAGTGGGTAGCAAGGGTTTTTCTTGGAACGCTGTGTTGTTGTTTTTTTGCCGCCATGCATAAAAAAAGGCTTTTTATGACCAAACAACTCAATCTTTGTTTCATCAGTCCACAGGACCTTATTCCAAAATGAAGGTGGCTTGTCCAAATGTGCTTTTGCAGACCTCAAGGGATTCTGTTTGTGGCTTGCTTGCAGAAAAGGCTTCTGTCGCATTTGCAGCCTTGTCCTTGACAGTTCTTCTATGCCTCTCTGATATTTTTTTTTGGCCTGCCACTTCTGGGCTTAACAAGAACTGTCACTGAGGTCTTCCATTTCCTTACTATGTTCCTCACAGTTTAAACCTCTGAGACAACTTTTTGTATCCTCCCCCTGAACGACTTTGTTGAACAATCTTTGTTTTCAGCGTTTTTTTGAGGTGCCCATAATGAATCTTCAGAGGAGATGCAAACAGTATAACAACTTGCAACTGGCCACCTTAAATACATTTTCTTATGATTGGATGCACCTGGCTAAGAAGTTGAAGTCTTAATGAAGTTACCAAACCAATTTTGTGTTTCAGTAATTCAGTGAAAAGTAGTTAAGGGTATTCTAATCAATAAAATGATTAGGGTAGCCACATTTCTGCACTTTCTGCATTTTCTGTTAGTCCAATAAACCTCAATTCAATACTGAAATAATACTGTGTCCATCAGTTATTAGATATGTATTAAACTGAAATAGCTGCTGCAAACACCCAAATAGTAAGAAACAAAATTAATTAATAGGAGTACCCAAATTTTTTAATATGACTGTATACGTGTTTTTTCTCTGGGCAGAAGGTCGATGGCAAATCCTCCTTCTTCAAGTTGGTACTCCAATGACCAGGACCACAGTAACACATAAAAAACCCAGTATGTGTAGGTAAGCTTTAGCTCTAAAGCTACTAGTTAGAAGTCAAAAGGGAATACTCTTTTTTTGGGGCAAAAGAATTTACCTTTTTTTTTATTCTTTTGAGAAAGGTTCAAGGAAATCCTCTAGAAACTCTGGAGATGATTTCTAAAAAAAAAATCCTTTATAAAATGAAGCATTATGACAGCAGTAGGGCAGGAACTAATGATTATTTTGCAAATTGATTAATCTGTCAATTATTATTTTCATTTATAATCGGATAGCCAAAGATTCCTTAAAGAAGATTTTTAACTAAATTAAACCACTTGAAAACTTTTCTACTTGAGGTGTTCTGGATAGAGCAGATTGACAGACGAAACATTTTTTTTTTTTTATCTTAAAGGAATAGTACACCCAAAACATGATTAGCCTTCATTTTCTACTCACCCCCATGCTGAACAACACTCTGGAGTACTTTTTTGATATCTCAAATGCATCTGGAGATCTGGGAGGCTTCTTGCGGTCTGCTGACATTCAAATAATGAAGGTCTATGGTGCCCGAGACAGAAAGGTCCATAAAAGTCCACAAAAAACGTGTCAATATTCCTCCATACTGCTCGTCCAATGTATTCCAAGTGTCCTGAGTGGGTAGCATCCAGAATTTACTCGAAACGAAGTCATTTATAATGTTTTTAGAGCATAAACAGTAGTGTATAGGATTTCCTGAAAGCGCGCGCCGGCGCGTTCATGACGCTACGGAAGCCGGCAGACCAAGCCAGATGAAAGTGCGCATTCAGCGTCTGCTCTGCCAATAATGCAAGCGTAGCAGAAGAAATGTGCCGTTTACCTGTGCAAAGAAAGAAACAACGAAAGAAAAATGTCTGAGGACTTCAGTGTTGAGGAAGAGCATGAGTTCTTTGCCGAGCTGAATGCGCTGGTTTGGTCTGCCGGCTTCCGTAGCGTCGGGAGCGCGCATGTGCGCGCTTTCAGGAAATCCTATACACTACTGTTTATGCTCTAAAAACATTCTAAATGACTTCGTTTCGAGTAAATTCTGGATGCTACCAACTCAGGACACTTGGAATACATTGGACGAGCAGTATGGAGGAATATTGAGACGTTTTTTGTGGACTTTTATGGACCTTTCTGTCTCGGTCACCATAGACCTCCATTATTTGAATGTCAGCAGACAGCAAGAAGCCTCCCAGATCTCCAGATGCATTTGAGATATCAAAAAAGTACTCCAGAGTGTTGTTCAGCATGGGGGTGAGTAGAAAATGAAGGCTAATCATGTTTTGGGTGTACTATTCCTTTAAAGGCATAATATTTATATATATATATTATTTTTTTACAATTTTGCTATAATTATTGCTCTAAGTTGGTCGCTCTGTCAGATACAGGCATGTTTTACATACTCTATACTAGTATTCCTATCAATTGTTTTAGTCCTAGAGAGCAGTAAGCACCCTCTTCAGAAGGTTGCTAAACTGTCAGGATTCTGGTCTGTCAACTAGTTGCTGTTTCCTTTACTTTGTGCTTCCAGCTCTGCTTGCTTATTCAGCCCACCTGAATGTGTACGCTAACCACTGCGCCACAAAAGCACGTCCATTGAAAAAGAATATTGAAGAAGAACTAACAGTAGACGAGTACCCAAAGTCACATAATGATATGGAGGTTTTAACAGGACCAACAGAATGTCGTCTGTTTAAGAGGAGGCGAGAGAGGCATTAACAGGAGGCAGTAGCTCTGACTAGGTAGTCGGTTCCAAACTCTAGGTTTAAGTTTGATTTCCGCCCCTAACTTCTACCTGACCACATGCTGTTAGTTAGTACAATGATTTAGCTGGAGGAACATAACTGAAGGAGGCAGTAGAACAAGTGTTTCTATTGTGGAGGAGATGCTCATCCAGTCACGGGATTTTTCTTAAAAGAAAAGTCCAGTCACATTCAGAATTCAAACTTCTGAAAGTTCTTTAAATATGAAATTATTCCATCCTGTTCAATAAATGATCAGTGTTTTTAATTTAGAGTAATTTCATTTGAATGTGCTTTAATGGAGGCATCCATGTTTGTCAAAGAACACTACTGCCACCTACTGGTTTGTGACGTCACGGTGCGGTATCGGCTGTTGATCAAGTCCCAGTGCTGTATCTGGTGTTTGTCACAACGCGCTATTATCCAAGGCATCTTGAAAACATTCTTCTTCCAAATGTTGGCTACATATTACGTGTTTTTTCTCTGGCAAGAAGTTCGATGACAAAACCTACAACTTCCAACATCCAGCTGCCATGCACGTGGGCATTGTCAGTTTCACTATAGCTCTGGTGAATTTCAATGGTGAAGTCCTCTGGAAATCTTCAATAATTGTTGTTGATTGCAGATGTGTCTAGTAGTTCCCATTGATTTTGCTTGTAAAGCGGGGAGAATGGTGCTAGGCTTACCGCACCGTGACGTCACTGCTGGAAGATGGCAGGAGGGAGGGGTTTCTATATTTGGGCAAAAATGGCCGCTCCCAGACTCAGCGATCACAGCGAAAATTATTGTTTTTATTTTTTTACTGATTAAAGCTAAATTAATTAAATCACCACAAATGTTAATTTGTTTTAGCTATAGATAATGATCCATTGCTCATTCCTTTGGTCAGTAGGCAGTAGAGGATCTACTGAGCCGTACCCAGTCTTCAACCTCCTCTTCTCCTCTGTTTAAACTTATCTCCTCTACCCCCATCAAGCCTCTGTGTTTACTGATTATGGATCACTGAATGTAATTCCAGTTAAAACTGTATACCTTGCTGCCGATGAACTCAACATTCAATTAAATTGAAGATCTCAAACCTCAACTTATGATATTCAGTATAGACACTTTTCCATTTGAAAATAATGACATGAACACGAGATCAGTGGTTTGCTTTGTCTTTGATTCTTTTTCTGGCTTGATCCAGCTCAGCCATCATGGGTAAGATGCCTTCATAGGTGTTGGTCTCAATAGCTCTAAGTTTCTCCTGGTACTCCTTTGGCAAGCCATTTTGCTCTGCTCCCATTACAATCACCTAATGTGAATGACAAAAAAATATTGGCTTTCTAGTAGCAGAAACACTGTTTCAGTAAAACATATCAAACATGAACAATAGTCTGAGATTAAATAATATTATGTCATCAAAAGAACATGGAAAAACTGAAAAACACATTCTCCTAAACATGAACATAAAAGGTCGTTTGAATGCTGGATTTTTATTGAATCACTGGACCAATGGGCATTAAAATTTTTATACTATAGGTCAATTTTTATTATATCAACTACAGAATATAGTAAGCTCTTTTAATGAAAATAGAATTATGCATTTCAGAATAATGTATTTTATATATAAAATTATGTATTTTAAACAAACAACAGCAACAGGAGAGTAACAGAGGAAAAAAAATAGATGATGCAATAGAATACAAATGGAAAACTGTGAAGTCAGAAGATGTTTGGTTCGTAGTTAAGTAGGGGGTTGTGTCACTATTTTCCTCACTAAAGCAAATTGTTTTGCTGGGATCAGACTCACAATTTAACGGTTGCTGAGGACATTTTAATTTAAGGAAAACAGAAACACCAAAATCAACAAAATGGCGCAACGAAGAGTTGCAGAGATTTCTGTGCATGTTGGCTGATAGGAAGACGCAGAGAATGGATGGAACCACACCAAATGAAAGAAAGTAAAGTTTCAGAAAGAGAGACTTTAACATAGAGACTAAGCATAGATACCAACTCTATGCTCAGTTTGAGCTTGTGCTGTAAGGTGACTGTGTCTTTTTCTATTTCAAGATGTGTTTTTGTCTGTAAGGGGTGTTATAAGAAAATACGTAGGCACTATGTCTATACATTTTTTCAGTCGTTGTACTTTTTTACCTCTATTGACTACATTTGAACACAAATTTCTGTGCTCTGTACATATTGATAATGACAGAGATCACTTTTTTTATTTTTTATTGTTGATTGTGTTTGAGGTTCTATTTAAACCATTCACAGCTTCATTGATGTACATATCCAAGCTGTAAAAGTAAACTGCTTAGGCATGACGTCTGCTGTGCCCACGGCTGGGGCAGGATGTTCTGATTGCAATTTCGTGATGCCTAGTTTCTTGTGACAGAACCTGCTCTTATCATACGATGTGTTGTACTGTATAACCCTTGGGGAGGGGGGGGTTATGCAGTCATGTCATGAAACCTGTTATACAAGCAACGTAATAAAAAGAAGCTTCGCAGGGAGAGCTTTCAGAGTTGAACAGAGGCTATTAACATCTAATCAGCTCTCTCCCCTTTTGCAAAAGCTTTGAAGCTTACATTGTGGCTCTGTGGTCTCTTAATATAGACGGTTAAAGGCGTTTGAATCTAAAAAGGATCACGCAAACTAATTTTCAATTTATATATAATGCATGCTGATTATGCTTACATTAGGCTTTTTAAATTTGTGAAGCTACTGCTTACAGATCTTCTATTGATCTTTATGTATGCTTATGTATGATGCAACTGAATGGCAGCTGAACTTAGCTTTGGTTGACAGCATTGTCTTTGCAGTATTTCATTTTGAGAAGTTCCTTTTACACTTTAACCAATCACTTATGTGTTTTCATTGAAGTTGCATTATTTCCCTAAGGGATGGGATATGTTTGATATGTTAAAGGAGAAGTCTGGTCACATTCAGAATACAAACTTCTGAAAGTACTTTAAACAGAGGCATCCATGTTTGTCAAAGAACACAAATGCCTCCTACATATTGGCTACATATTACGTGTTTTTTCTCTGGCCAAATGTTCAATAACAAATCCTCCCTCTTCTAGTTGGCAATCCAACGATGAACCCGTCCGTGGAGGATCAGGAATCAGAAAGGTGGAATAACTCTTTTTTTCACTTTTACCCGATGTATTCCAGCATCCAGCTGCCATGCACGTGGGCATTGTCAGTTTCACTATAGCTCTGGTGAATTTCAATGGTGAAGTCCTCTGGAAATCTTCAATAATTGTTGTTGATTGCAGATGTGTCTAGTAGTTCCCATTGATTTTGTTTGTAAAGCGGGGAGAATGGTGCTAGGCTTACCGCACCGTGACGTCACTGCTGGAAGATGGCAGGAGGGAGGGGCTACTATATTTGGGCAAACATGGCCGCTCCCAGACTCCGTGATCGTAACAAAAATTATTGTTTTTATTTTTTTACTAAATTCATTAAATCACCGCAAACGTATTAGTTTCAGGTATAATGATCCATTGATTTTCCCTTGCTGACCCGACTTTTCCTTTAACAATAAAACATGACTGAATAAAAACTAAACACATTTTCCTCTCATAAGGTTGGGGTTAATGCTTAGTAGACTAGTATGTACATTGCGAGCATTAAAACAAAGCATAAATGTTAACTTTCTTTTTCTTGACTTAACATTCTGACTCCTACTGAAGTAACAGGTCAGTTATAACCAGCACTAATGAAATGTAATAAATTTTACCTGAAGATATTGAGGGGATGGCTGGGCATACACACAGCTGTTCATTATATAGGTGCGACAGTTGATTTCCTGACCTTTTGTCATCACTTGTAGCTCCACTGGTCTGTAGGCACCTAACATCACATTCTCTTGACTGAATGTGTGAGCACACAAGAGTGTACATTTTTTTTAAGCTGAAACACATGCAGACATACACAAATTACATTTAAATACAAACAAATGATCAATTTTTACTTGTCTAGTGACTGTAGATCAGATATGTTCATCCTCCACACTACACCCCACACTTCATCCCCTGGGCTGTGCTCTATGCTGGCCACACCCCCATGCCAGCGATCACTGGCCAGGCCTTTGTAGTTACCAAAAACCAATCTATAGTCCTAAAAAAGAAACAAAAAATCATTCATCAGGCTTATTTTTCCATTTGGTAAAAACAGATGCTACTGGTATTTAACAACATACCTTGAGCCTGGCCACACAGTGCACTGTTGCAGAAGGATTCCTGAGCTGCAGACGCTCTTTCAGTAGGTTACTACCATATGCAAAGTACAGAAATGTTTGGTTATTCTCCATGTCCTTATGAGTGAAAAATACTATGAACTGTAAACAGAAGTCATTAACAACAAAGCGCTCAATTAGTTGAGCCCCAGCTGTGTGTTTGGAGAAGCTACGGGTAAAAATGACAGAGCCTGAACAGCAGAATCACATAAATGAAGAACTGGCCTTTCAGCAGCTAAACCCTATTCTTATGCTAATCCTCTAAACTGCCACTGAGTGCTGTTCTACAAGCATTTGTTCTACTGCAGGGGTTCGGAGAAAGGCATAGAAAAATAGGGGAAACATAAAATACACACATCACACAACAAAATCCAAGTCTGAGTTAAAACTTTAGTTTGGCCTTCATGTTTTTACCATGTAGAGAAGTTTCCTCCTTTCACACCTCTCTTCAAGTTTTCATTTGCACACATTTTTAAAATTATACAGTCATGTAATTTCATTTAATCGGGAGAAGGAACCCATTAAGTACTCGTCGGGCATCATTTCATCTATAGCTCTCCAGCTCTATGCTCTCCTTACTAAGAAACAGGACCCAAGATACTTGAACTCCTCCGCTTGAGGCAAGAACTATCCTCCAGCCTGAAGAGGATAAGCCCAGGGCTGGGGCTAGACTTTTAAAACAGGGGTGGTATGTCATCTTTAATGGGGAGGTCAATATATAAAGGGTTCAGTTACACTACAAACAATAACCATTTTCTGCATTTTCAGCAAAAATAGAATAAACAAGTACTTAATGTGCCCCTTAGACTAATCAAATCCAGTAGTAAACAAAAACGTGGGGTAAATTAGGACCTGTCAAAACAAGCCAGGAGAAGCAGTTGTGCAGATTTAAATGTGTACCACGAGAAGAATAATAGAACAACAAAACAAAAAACAAACACACAACCCTTTAAAACTTACTATAGTTGACCACTGCCCAGTGACATCACAACACCAAGATCACAAAAATGAGCAGAACATCAAAATTTTGCGGTTCTGGTGAGATGAAGCCAAATGTTTTACAAAGACTTCCATGTATAGGAAATATGCCCTCCTTGAATCAACACCAAGTATGCCCAAGTCTATCATCAGCCATTGCTGACTTAAGGAGGGTTTTTATTCTTTTAGGTTCAGAGAAACTTCTTTTGCAGGATGCAGTGCTAAGTGGAATCACGAGCCAAATTTTACTCAGATTAAAATCAGTTAATGAAAAACCTCTTTGTAAGGTTCCAAAAACCAGTGGTGTCAAAAGTTCACACATTTGTTACTTAAGTAGAAGTATAGATACTGCAGTTTAAAAACATTCTGGTAAAAGTTGAAGCATCAACTTGACCTCTTTACTCAAGTAAAAGTGAAAAAGTATGTGCTCCAAACACTACTTAAAGTATCAAAGTATTTTAAAAAACAGCCAGATGCCACTATATGAAATGAAAGCTCAATTTTTCGACTACTTTGAAAAATTCTCTGAGATAGGTCCAAGGATGAGGGAGGCCTTGTTGATCTCCATCTCCCGATACTCTCTCGCCTGTGTCCGACCTTTCAGACATTTCAACATCTTTTTCTGAATCCCACATTGTAGCATGGCATAGACAATTCGTGTTTGAAGAACACCTGCTTGCTTCTGATGATTTCCTTTAGCTAGCCAAGGAGTGTTTGCGTTACATGACTCATCCAATGACACTAGTTTTCACTAGATGCGGATGGCGCATCTATCAGTGGAATTATCAATGAAAACTACACTGAAATAGCTCATTTGTGCTCAAATTTCTTCAAACAGCTTTATGAATCAAACTTGTCTCAGGCTTCAGCAGACTTCTTCATGAAGTCCATCACAACCAAGACGCTAAGTCAAACTGATAAGGAATTTTGTGATCAACCTATTTCACAGCAAGAGGTATTGAATGCTATTAAACTTCTCAAAAACAACAAATCTCCTGAAACTGATGGACTAACAGCAGTATTTTACAAAACATTCACCTCTGAGCTGACTCCTTTTCTGTTTGAAGCTTATAAAGAGAGTCTTAGTGAAGAAAGTCTCCCAACCACAATGACTCAGGGACTGACTGCACTGATTCCCAAACCTAATAAAGATTGTTTATTTCTGGACATTTGGCGTCCCATTTGCTTGCTTAATAATGACTATAAACTTTTTGCTTTAGCCATTGCAAAAAGGCTTAAGTGTTTCTTAAACTCCATAATAGAAGAAACGCAATCAGGCTTTATGACCAACAGACACATAACCAACAATATACGATTAGTGCTAGATATTTTAGATTATTTAGATCTATTCAAAGATGATGGATTTCTGTTATTTGTAGAAGTTTATAAAGCCTTTGATCCTGTGGGACATCAGTTCATCTTAGACTCCTTGTGTAAATTTGGTTTCAGATATTATTTTTCATCGTCTGTAAGAACCCTGTACAAAATACCTGTAATAGCTCGGTAAAGTGAACTGGTGGAACCTGTTCTAGATTTGATCTTTTAAGAGGAATTAGACAGGGATGCCCAGTTTCTCCTTACCTTTTTCTACTGGTTTCTCAGCTTTTAGTAGACCATATTAAAGCCAATGATATTCAAGGCATCCCTCTCTTAGATAGTAATCTTATAATCACTCAACTTGCAGAGGATGCAACTCTCTTTTTGAAAGATAAAAATCAGGTCACTATTGCTTTGCAATCATTAAAAGAGTTTTCACGAGCTTCTGGATTATATGTCAATGTCAACAAATGTGAGCTCATGGCTATAAAGGAATGCTCCACCAGCTCCATTTGTAATTTACCGGTTAAAGATGAAGTGAGGTACTTGGGTATAATAATTACTAAAGATCAACAAAGAGGAGCATCCTTAAATTGTGAAGCCATTATTCAGAAAAGTCAAATAAAGCTAAATTAATGGCTCTTAAGAGATCTCTCTTTTAAAGGGAGAGTTTAATAACCAAGGCAGAGAGACTTTCACGTCTGAGTTTTACAGCTTTATCTCTCCATTTAGAGAAACAACTTCTAAATGACATTGACAAAATGTTATTTACCTTCATAAGTAGAAATAAGACTGACTATTTTAAAAAACCTGCTCTCATGAATCCGTACCATGAAGGTGGTCTTAACTTCCTAGACTTTACTACTCTGAACAGTGTTAATTTCGTCAACCATGACGATGATGAAAATATTTCGTCAACGCCCCTTTTTCCCGTGACTATGACGAGACGATAACAAAAAAAAATGATTCCAGAAAATAAAAATATGACGAAAACAAAAAATGATTTTCGTCAACGAGACTACGACAGACAAAATTTACGATCCATTGACGAATGGACATTAAGAAATGTAATGTAATTGTTTATGATTGTTTGATTAATTTGTAATTGTTAATATAAGCGTTTCTTGAGCGTCATAGAAGATTACGCGTTGTTGCGCCGTTTGTCCCACACGGCGCCTGTCCCACAGTGCCTCGTGCCGCTCAGTCGGTAGTAGCAGAGGGCTTATACTCATAGCTCAACTTCGCAGTCATTGCGGATACTGGTGTGCGGTTTGCATCTGGCTGTATGTGTGTGTGCCTTCCTGTGCCTGTGTCTGTCTGTCTCTCTGTCATAGAAGAAAGATGTTCTACTGATAAACTGGATATTAATTGTTTAAATTTCTTCCTCCCAACTAGATACCTGTCACAGTGACACCACAGCCAAATCAGAGGTTGGGGTATGAAGGAAAGTCTGTTGCAGAGATGCACCCCCACCCCTGACGCCAAAGAGCAGAAAGCCCTGGAGAACTCAATGGCAAAGTGGATTGAGCGTTCTGGCCTCACTGCAGGGACCATTGAGGATGAAGACTTTATGGATATGATGAAACAAGCTGACAAAACATTTAATGTTTACAGTGTGATATATGTTAAAAAGAGAATCCGTGTGTGAAGTTCTATTCTGCACAGTGTTATATAAATAAAATAGAGAAAAAGAGAAGCAGTGTGTGGTGAATTTTTATTCTGTACAGTGTGATATATATGTTTAAAAAAGCAGTGTGTGGAGAAGTTCTATTATTTACAGTGTTGACTAAAACTGGACTAAGACTAAAATTGATTTTCGTCATTTAGACTAAGACTAAAAATAAATCGGGAAGGCAATGACTAAATATGACTAAGACTAAAATTGATTTTTGTCATTGTGACTAAGACTAAAGACTAAAGACTAAATTTAAAAAAGCTGAAGAAATTAACACTGACTCTGAACAGCACTTTTAAAATTAATTGGCAAAAAAAAATATAAAAATATCCTAACTCTATATGGAATGCTATACCTTTGCATATGATTTCTAAACTTGGTGCATTAAACTTCTTCTTAATGTGCATTTATGATATTGATAAAGCTCCCAATTAGTTATCAACTTTTCACTGCCAGTCCTTCCTGTCATGGACTCTCATCTATAAACACAACTTTTCCCCCCATAGGTATCTTATATGGAATAACAAGGACATTCTATACAAGCATAAATATATTTTTATTGAGTATTGGTTCCAAAATAACATTACACACGTGGCTCAGTTATTTAACAAAGATGGTCGCCTTTTCTCATATGAGGAGTTTTTGCAAAGATTTTCTTTTATTTTGCAAGACTATACTATTCGGGATTAAGGGAAATTGCAAGGTTCAACCAAAGAGATCAGATAAGATATATGTAATTGACTTGATTATTATTATGGCCAAGTTCTTTAGACATAAAAGTAAATATAGAGGCTCCAAACCAGCATTACTGCTTTTAAGCACGAACTCAAACAAAACATTAACACCATACACTTATCATAAAATAGGAACTCAATCAAAACTCGAGAAGCCTTTGTCCTTTTTAATCTTCTTATTTAGACAGCTGTTTCCCCCTAGTGTTAACTTTTATTTAATAGATGTACTTGTTTTGCACAAAACAAGGACATCTGAATTTATTCTGTTGAAAATGTCTGTAAAAAATGGTTGTTAAGAATACCTATAGTGCAATATGATTGCTCTGTAAAGTTCTTTGCAGAAACAAATAAAGTTGTATTGAAGGAAAAATAAATAAATAAAAATTAATTACCGCCACCAACTGGTAAGGGCCAAGTTTTATTGTTTTCTGTTAATGTTGTTTTGTGATATGTAAACAATGCAGTTTTGTATTGTTGTGTA